TAAGAAATCTACTCTTTCATTTTGCAAATTCCAGGACACAATACGGTATTTGTTATAATTTTGAAGTTGTTTGGATTTCGTCTCTGCTCTCTTTGCTTACTCTTAAGGGTAGGTTTCAGTGATTAGAGTCCTAACCTGAGATATTCAATGGGAAGGAAAATGATTTTCCACTTATGTGGGACAAGAGACCTGCAGGAGAAGACTCATTTAAACTGTTCTGGGGCAGCTCCTTCTCTTTGATAAGAAGGCAGCTCTTTGGCAGATGAAGATCTGTAGAGTTGTCACACATAAGCCGCAATCACAGGCCACCTTCTGGATGACTCAGACTTTCTGCTGAAAGGGCACGATTGTGACTGCTGCCCTTGAGATGGCTCTTCCTCAATGAAAGGGTAAAGTCAAGGTCTTTAGCTCAAAATACGACTGGATGGCAGGAACTACCCGTTGCTTTCAAGCCACCTTCTAAATCCAGCCCTGGGCCTGCTCTGGTTTCACTTAGGGACCCGGCAGCGCCAGCACACACTTAATACCCACTGTGCTGTGGGTAACCACAGGGTGACCTGGGAGTGACGTGTGGACAACACCACCGGAGCCAACGAAACAGGAGTTCTGCCCAGCGGAGGTCACGGCAGCGCCCTCAGCAGATACTCTGGTCACTTGAAAATTATAATTTTATTCTGAAATGCTCATTCTTTAAAATGTCGCCCTGGAAGCAATCAGGCTTTGGGGAAGTCAAACATATGTTGCTAGGAAAGGAACCCCAACCAGAAAGGAAGCCAAGAGTGGGTAAGATGTGAAATTTAGATAACTCAGGATGAAGTCAGACCGCCCAGCTGTGCCACAGCGGCAGCAAAGTCAAATGCTTTCATTGCTAATTAATGGAGTTTTTTTCTTGACATGATTTTTTTTTTTTTTTTTGTAGATTGTATCATGGAGTTCCTGATGACGAAATAGTGTGTGGGAAAATTAAACAAGTGGTATTTAGAAATGTATTTCTTAACCTCTCTAATAATTTATGAAGCGGAAATTGAATAATTGCCTCAACATGGATGGTTAAGGGGTGGCCCTGATGTTATCACAGATGAAGGATGCCAAGGGCATTCTCAGTAACAAGGATAAGAGTAAGCACAAAATCCTAAAAAACTTGGACATGAATGAAATAAAGTTATCTCTGGGAAGTAAACAAGGAAGTGAACCCGTAGTGGCTCCAAATGGATTCCCAGACAAGGACTCCATTGTAACAAACTTATACCTTTGTAAAACTTACTCAATTGTAACGAAACAGGAAATATAAAAATGTCTAAAGAAAGAATGAGTGGGGAAAAGGGAACCTCGGGGCTCATGGAGCCCACTGGGGGGAGAGGTGCGCATCCTTGTTCTAGGCTCAGCATTAGTTTAGATCAAGACACCTCGGTTTCTCTCAAACTAAAGATGATAGATGAGTAGTCCTCAAACTTCAGCAATCATCTCCATTGTTAAAAGCACAAAATTTGTGGGGTGCGGTGGCTCACACCTGTAATCCCAGCACTGTGGGAGACTGAGGAGGGAGAATCGCTGGACCTCAGGAGTTGGAGACTCGCCTGAGCGAAAGTGAGACCCCAACTCATGAAAAAAATGGAAAAACCCAGTCAGGCGCCGCGGCCAGTGCCTGTAATCCCAGCGGCTTCGGGAGGCTGAGGCAGTGGGATGCCCACAAGCCAGGGTCTGAGGTTGCAGTGAACTACCAAGCCGCTGTACTCTGCTCAGGGGCACAGGGTGGGACTCTGTCTCGACAAAAAACAAACAAACAAACAAACCAAAAAACAAAACATAAAATTCCAGGGTCTTCCCCAAGACAGTCTGAGTCAGTGGGTATAGGGTGGATTTGAACACCCCCAAAACTCATCAAACCCACAGTGTGAATATGGGGCATATGGCCTGAGGTCTACCCTTTAAGAAGTAGTGTCTGAATCCTATGACAGTCTGCAGTCCACACTTCCCTGGCACCTCTCTAACTACATGGCTATTTGGTAGGTTTGACCAGCATAGAACATTCAGGCCTGATGACCCCAGTCTCTTGACTCAACAGTTCGAGATTCTCATCATAAATAAATAAATTGACTTCTAGCTTCATGTATGGGTCTCCTTCACTTGATAAATCTGCTTGGATAACTTGGATTATTTTCCAAAAGAGACTTTTCCTCTCTGGACTATTTTTCCATAAAGTTTTCACAATAAAAATACTGCACGCCATGTGAATTAAACAGTTAATTGTAAAGGGAGAAAAATAAA